ACTTTTTGATTCTCACGTTTGTGTTTGGGGCAGGCGGAAAGCCTACGTGAGGTCTGCAACGACAAACTGATTGACGAATACCGTAAAACATCTACATCTGGCAGAGTTTATGTACACTTCGAATTAAAAAAAACAGTGTCGACATGAAAAGCTTTTCTTATAATCCCTTGTAAAGCATTTCATATCTTTTATAGAAACACATAAATTCGTTAACCAATACATTCTTATCTTGAATGTTCATCCAAAAAAGAAGAAAACAGATTTTAAGCAAGCAGTAAAACATCACAAAAATAACGCCATGAACCAGAATAAAAAGACAAACAACACAACACAAAGCACACAAATCTGAGTGAGCAACACGAACAAAAACTTTCTTGTTTGATTTTTTAAATCATACCTATTATAAATTAATATGAAAGCTGTTTCCTTTTACATTGAAAGTACTTTGATTTAGCCGGATGTGTAAACAGATGTCCAACCGATGAAATCAATATGTTCAAATATTATGTCAAGGATGGATGATAATTTAGCTTCAGAGGGATGGTGCTAGTCATGCCTATACGAGTTCATATTCTTTTAAATAAGAGGTATTGTCAAGTTCATTGTGTCAAAGATGTATGGTAATTAATTTCAACTTTTAGTCGCAGAAAAAAACTCGAGAGGGCAACAAACAAGCAAGTCAGTGGAAAAGCAAGGAAATATTGAATCAACTCATGCCACAAAATGAAATGTAAACAAATTAAAAAAAAAGAAAAAAAAAGCAAAAGAACATCGATTATATAGCTGTTTCTCATCTCAAATTCAAAGCTATGCCATTCAACACGGAGCAAGCACTCTAACACTACAGCAAGTTTAAATCTGAAAGACAATTGTATACAGGGAATATTAAGTGAATCAGACTCAATTGTTTGTTTGACGTACTGAAACATTGTGCCAAACTGTACTGAACATTGATCAACATATTATGCTATCTTGTCGCATTACTTTAGTTTTCGCGCTCAACTAATTTGGTTTTGTCATTTTAACTTGCTTGATTTAAGCTACCAAATTGAAACCTGTACACTCAAATGAAACCTTGTATTAAACAAAATAGTTCACAATTAAAAAAGAAAAGCTGTTTATTAGATAATTTCCCCCAGGTATCGTGTATGCAAGTTTTTTGGTGCTAAACAAAAATCAGTATATATACTGCTTTGATGTGTATCATTCAAAAATCTGTCGTAACACTTCCGTGGACCACTTAAAACAGCGAACTCCCCGTGATCTAAAGTGTACTTGCAATTTAAGTATAGTCAATTTTGCACTTGTACACTACAATTTTGCTGTTGATCTCGATTTTGATATTTTGATATTTTATCTAGTTTTGAGAATGCGTAAATTAAACCTGAAAAGGATTATGAGAGAAACATGTGTCATGCGAACAGAAAGCTTTTTAATCACAGTTTACATGAGTATTACTACTAACAACTCGGTAATATGAGAGAGAGAGAGAGAGAGAGAGAGAGAGAGAGAGAGAGAGAGAGAGAGAGAGAGAGAGAGAGAGAGAGAGAGAGAGAGGATAAATAGCTATTGATGATTTTGTGATACAAACGTTTCAGGTGCCAAGATCAGTTTGTCGGGAGCCAACCTCTTTTAACTGTTCTCGTCACACCTCAACCTGTAATTCTGATCTGAAATTTGCTTATGGTAAGTTGGCAGTGTAATTTTAAAGTTATTGGCATTGTCTTGGGCTTGTAACACGTCGGGATAACTACAACATTTACGCGTGTACGTCTTTGTTTGGAGGAATAAGTCTGTAGTAATGTTCATAACAAAGAACATATGTCCACTAAACACTAAACAGTAAGTTACCGACCATTCGTTTAAGGGGGCAAAATGATACAAACAGTTAATTCGAACTCAATAACACACACGAGAACACGATATTTATATCGAAACGCAATGTATTTTCACTTCTAATGTTCAATAACAACACGGTATTTTGGTCTTTACCGTTCTGAAAATATTTTTCGAGAGATTTAAAATTAAGCAATTTGTTTTAAAAAAATAACGCCATGACATTTAAATCCACCTTTCCAAAGATGAACGGTCCGTGCCGGAACTAAAAATTAATGAAAAAAAATCCCAGAAAAAAAGGTTCATTATTCCTTAAGCTTTCCAATTGTGTGGTATTAGGATGCCAAAAGTCAAGCAGACGAATTCTATTATCGGTCATTATCTCGAGCGTGACAAGAAGTCGAGCTTCTATTCAAAAGCTCTGTTTGAAATCTATATCGTATCTAATCATTTCTAATCCAACATTTCTAACAGTGAACAGTCCTCAATGCTCTTTAACTTCCGTTTTTGTTTGGCTTTTTTAACTTGTTTGATTCGAGTGTCACAAATGAATCTTTTGTTTTACCGAGACGCACGTCTGGCGTACAACAATTCAGTCCCGGTATCTATGGTGAGTTTATTCACTACTCTTTCCCTTTAATGCATTTTTCTCTTAAAAACTGAATTTAAAGTATAAAGAAACGACAGAAAAGTATCGAGACAACACTGCCTGCACTGTGTCCAAAGCTCTTGACCACTCGGCCACCTAGACTGAACTAAAAATTCAGCTTTCGGTGGCCTAGTGTCTCGATATCCAAAAACACGAAATCGAATCCCGGCGATGGAAGAATAAATATTTGCTTCTGCAAGTTTGCAGATTTAACATTGTTGTTCTGATATTCTGATATGTAGAGTAGTTATGAATATAATATGTGTTTTCGGCCGTGTATCACCTTTACTAGTGATCCAATGGATGGATCTGTCATAGAGTTGTCACTTGTTTAGACGTACATATCTATATTTATATATCATAGGTTTGAACGTTGTTTTCAATTTAGACTTGTTTATAATTTTTTTCGTTTGGGCTTGTATTATATTTGCCTTCTGGTTGATATAATCGGTTCATCCTATTTCGACTCTTCAAAATTCAAAAGTCAATCCTAAATTGGGGTAAATTATATGGCCTTCCAAATATCGTTTCGATTCCTAACATCACTGAAGAGACATTAATTGTCGAAATCCAGATATGGTGTACCAAGTTTTACACCTTATGTTTGCGGTATACCATCTTTTCCGCAAGTTTATTGTTTTCTGTTTGGTATTAAATTAATAATTAAGATCCATTTTGTTACATCTGGGGATCCGTTTATTTGACAATCGCCATGGCAGTCAGCAGGGTTAAAGAACATCTGTTGTTCGACCTGCTAGTCAAATGCGTTTTGTTAAAATATACTTTTTCACTTTTTTTGGTCTTTTGGAAAATGTTGTTTGTGCTGTATTTAGACCATTCTACCAAGAAATTTGTTTTGCACTCACACGTATAAAAATTGCGATTTTTATCCAACGATTTCATAGGTTTGAACGTTGTTTTCAATTTAGACTTGAATATATTTTTATATACATATAAAGTGTCTAGAAAATCAATCTAACACTGTTAGAGTAGATCAGATTCTTTACTTCCTCCCCGAGCGGGCTGAAACCTGTACTTTCCACTTCTCACTTCTACTCTTCCTAGTATTGCGCAGACGCCTTAATCCCTCCATCAACTATAGCTGATAAAAATCCGTGAAAATATAAAAAGAATTAAAAAAAATAATTTCTTCATTTTCAAAAGATTACTTCGAATATTTAGAGTGTTGTGTTTTACGCTTGTCAGGAAAAACCTACCAGAAAGATGACGCAAAACCAAGTACATTGCTTAAATGATGAACAAGATACATTCTTTCCATGAGATAATAATAGAAACGCCATAGCGAATATATCCTGTTTTACAAGGATAAACATTGTTTATCCATTCTATTTAAAAGATTGATTAACAATTTGGGTATCTGTCGCATTAATCTCATATATGTACATTAACATATGATACATTTAAAGCTGACAATATAATACATGCAGAACAAAATTGCAAAATATATACAACAAATACTTCCTTAATTTTATGTGCAGTACATGTAATACATTTTGTAATATCCTAACATGGTAAATTCAATTGAAATATTTGGAGCATTAAAAGCTTAATAGACATTTAGATCTAAAATTGTTCAGAGAACAATTGTTGGTCTTTCCATATCAATTTTTTAGGTAATTGATAAGAAGCTACTTCCAGTTTACTCAAAGTTACTATTGGCGTCCAATGATAGACTTCTTCATACTGATTAAAAAAATATATATGGTTTCTATATATTTTGTCTGAAATAAGGAAGATAATTTGCTACTTTCGGTTTAGAAAATGTCACTTCCGGTATCATATGATAGATTTATTCACACAGATTCCAAACTTATATGGTTTTAATATCATTTTGCTTGAAAAAAGGAGATAATTTGCAATTTCCGGTTTGATCGCATTTCTTAAGTTAGGACCCAATGACCTCAAATAAAAAGACTCTAGGTTTATACGGCTTACGATTTATGAGTTACAAAAACATAACAACAAATTAATTTAGTAAAGGTAGATAACTCCTATAAGATTTCACCGGATCGCTTCGATTCAATTCAGCAAAAAATTCCTGAGGTTGTAACGATAAATAAGAACAAGAATTTTGTCGTTATCTTTTTTTTTTTTTTGGCTACGGAGGAGATACACTTACAAGAAAAACAGTGTTTTGTGAGATAACTCTTACAATAAAAAAAGTCTTCGGCTTAACGAGATGAGTTTTAAAAGCGCAATAACTGTTTGACGTCTTAGATTGTGGTTTACCATCTACGTCATCTGGTCGTAAATTCATGGGAGGTGTCCGTTGTTATTCTGCGGTTTATATGTTGTAATGTAATATCATATTGTTTATTTATGTATTTCTCTGTGTTGAGTGTTCTTGCGTTTGTTTGTACTGTATTCCTGTCACGTAGTGTTCTCATTTTAACGGTATTTTTATTCAATCAAACGTAAACAAACCAGGATCTTATTATATAATAGAAAACTTCAACCATGATTAATTAACATAAAGACAGTTATATATATTTGTTTACTTGTAACTATAAAGATAAGACGTTCTCCGATGTGTCTAACTTAGACACAATTATTTGGTCAATTTGGATAATTATCTTTTGTATTATTTGTAGTGTGTATTATACAAGTAAGTTCGATATTTTTATTTAAGGTCTTTTAAAATATATACTTATTTTATATAGACAGTTTATCTAATTCGAATTAAGCTCTAAATCAGATACGCTACATTATCATGATTATTCGTTTATATTAACGAAAGAGACGCCAAGTGAAACTGGTGTGAATTGATAACACTTTGAAAGTTATCTTAACTGACATGTTTCCATTCTCATCAATTAAGATTTATTATTTGAATTAAATATTTAAAGTGTTCATTACGTACGGAAATTAAAATTAATAACTTGAATATATATACTCATGTTTATTCACACAGTTTAAAAAAAAAAAACACACCACATGGTCGGATTGGACTAGAACCAGGTGGTCCGAAAAAGATTACAAACATTTTAACAACATTTGTTCGCATCAAAGAGGCTGTTTACTAGCAAATATATTTACAAGGAAACTTCAACCGTGTGTTCCTTAAAGTTATAATAATTGCTTTTCTAATCACTGTTACTGAGTTGTTCGAGGTGTTTGGCCCCTAAATTATGTTTATAAAATACTTGTCTGAGTTGTTCGAGGGCCACTATATAATGTTTTTGCAACGTTCATAAAACACTGGTACTGATTAGTTTTAGGTGTTTGGCCCCTAAATTATGTTAATGAAATACTTATCTGAGTTGGTTGAGGTGAAGGACCACCATATAATGCTTAGTTAGTCCTAGAATCTGGATAGAGTCCTCTATCAAAATTTTTATTACATAAAATAAAACCCTGTTTGTATACATTCCATTGACACAGGAATGTCCCTGTTAAACATCTCTGGTAACATGAAATGTTCCCATTTAGAAATCTCATATCATACTATTTTCCAAACTATTTACACTAAATGAAATATTTTCCCTTGACAGTGCTAGGGCAAAAGGACAAGGTAACCGACGATATCACACTGGCCGCCTTGGTCTTTGATACGTGGAATTAACCATGGCCATGCTGAATAACATCCCCGTCAGCAAGAAAATATCAAAAAAAATATCCCCACTCCAGCCAGCCATAAGCAAAATATCACAATTCCTATACCAGACCAGGATTATTTGGCTCTGCCGACACTGGACCCCAACCTATTAAGGGTTTTAAGTTTAAGGGGCACATACAGGCAAAAGTTATCAAATCAATTCCAATTAACGAACGAGGGTAAATAGCAAACAAAGGAAACGTAAATAAAATGATTGCAGTTAACTGGAAGCAAATTGAGAACGATTCTGTAATCGACAAAGTATCAAGTTCTATGACAGTGTAACAATCAATTGCCACCAATATTAATGTTTTAACAACAACGTCGGTTCTGTAACTCTTGTCACTGACTTTATTTTGAAGTGTTAAATTAGTTCATTATTTCTGGCTTTTAACGCTTTGTAAGTAATATAACCATAGAAAGATAAGAAATACCTTGCTTCATAAAATATCTGTAGTAAACGTTCATATAACACTAGTACTGAGATGTTCGTGGTGAATGACCACTGGATAATGTCCAAATAACACTGGTACTGAGAGGTTCGTGGTGAATGACCACTGGATAATGTCCAAATAACACTGGTACTGAGAGGTTCGACCCCTAGATAACACCCCTTAAACACTGGTATTAAGTTGCTGTAGATGTATGATCCCTACATAATGTTTATGCAACATTGGTCTGAGTTTTTCGAGGTGTATGGCCACTAGATAGTGTTCATACTGGTACTGAGATTTTTTAGGTATTTGACCCCTTAATAATGTTAATAAAACACTGATGCTGATATGTTCGAAGTATATGGCTACCAGCAAATATTCATATAAGACTGGCACTGAGTTGTTCGAGGTGTATGGCCACTAGATAACGTTCATATGACACTATTACTGAATTTTGTAAAATATGTTTATGGAACACTCGTCTGTTATTCGAGTTGTATGACCACTAGATATTGTTCATACAACACTTGAACATGGTTGTTAGAGGTGTATGCATATGACCACTATACAAGTTTCTATTGCAGTGCTACTGATTCATTCGTATTGTATGACTACCAGATGACATTCACACCACACTGGTACTAAGATATTTGAGGGAAATGACCCTAAGATAACGTACATGTAACACTTGTAGTGAGATGTCAAAGGCGTATGACACTTCGAAAACGTTCATATAACATTTGCAGTAAAATGTTCGAAGTGTATGGCCATTAGAAAACGTTCATTTTCCATTGGTTCTAGGTTGTTTGAGGTGTTTGACCACTAGATTACGTTCATAACACTGTTACTGAGATGTTCGAGATGAATGATCCCTAGAAAACTTTCATTGTCACTTGTATTAAGATGTTCGAGATGTATGGCCACAAGATAACTTTCATATAACACTGGTACGGAGATGCCCCCGGTAAACGACCCCTAAATAAGGTTTATATAACACTGGTACTGAGATGTTGGAGGCGAACGACCCTTGGATAACATTCATATAACACTGGTACTTATATGTTCGCGGCATACGGCCTCTAAATAACGTTTATATAAAACTGGTACCGAGATGTTCGAAGTGTATGACCCTTAGATAACGTTCATATAACATTTGTAGTAAAATGTTCGAGGTGTATGGCCACTAAAAAACGTTCATATAACACTGGTAGTGAGATGTTCAAGGTATACATCACCTAAATAACGTTTATATAACACTGGTGCTGAGATGTTTGAGGAGTATGGCCCCTAGATAACGTTCAAATAACACTTGTACTGAGATGTTCGAGGTATACAGCCCCTAAATAACGTTTATATAACACTGGTACTGAGATGTTCGAGGTGTTTGGCCACTAGAAAACGTTCATATAACACCGGTACTGAGTTGTTCGAGGTGTTTGACCCCTATTTGACGTTCATAACACTGATACTGAGATGTTCTAGGTGACAGACACTTAGAAAACGTTCATATAACACTTGCACTTTGATGTTCGAGATGTATGGCCGATAGATAACATTAATATAACACTGGTACTAAGATGCTCAAGGTATACGACCCCTAAATAACGTTTATATAACACTGGTACTAAGATGCTCAAGGTATACGACCCCTAAATAATGTGTATATAACACTGGTACTGAGATGTTCGAAGTGTAGGATCCCTAGATAACGTTCATATAACACTGGTAGAGAGGTGTTCTTGTTATACGACCCCTACATAACGTTTATATAACACTGGTACTGAGATGTTAGAGGTGTATGACCTCTAGATAACATTCATAATACACAGGTTCTGAGACACGTTTGAGGTGCATGACCCCTAAATTATCACAAGTAATCAGAATTTAGATTGATCGGCCAAATAGGTATTAACCCTATATACTTAAAAAAAAAGATTACTGAATACTAGTACTTAAATAAGATTGAAAAAAATGAAACACGTTTTTCAATTTAATTAAACCCATTTCAAATCATTTTAAAACCAGTCAAATAGATTCCCTTGTGGTCATTTAAGTTAATTTAAGATATGGTTGAGCTACGTCAAACTAATTAGCCACGCTAAACGAAATCAAACTGGTATGAAGTTCTTTTAAACTTTAAAGTGTCCGCCTTTTTGTAAGGTAAATCTCTCAAGCAGAAAAGCAACACCGTTTATGTATCGTCAACCCGTTCCAAAAGTTATAATTATCGACTTTAGGCAGATGATATACCTCCAACAAATATTCACAATTAAAAGAAATTAATGGCAAATACATATGTAAATAAGTATCTTATGGTTATTGATGCAAGAGTTTTAAAATGCAGCAAAAAAAGTAAATCAGTTGTAAATAGAATTTAAAGATAAATGATTTAATTTTAATTTGTCCACATGCTGTAGCAGTAGATAAGAAAGATTGTTTATATGAAAACTTGCGTCGACTAAGTAATTTGGTCTCTCACAATAATTGCTAAAATATAAAACGAGAAAGTGAATTAAAAGGTCTTAATTGCACGCCTTGGGATTGTGCAAAATAGTAAAAAAATCAAATAGAAATGAATGAATTAAAACTTTTACAATTACCGACAAATAAAACAGTATTTATTATCTTTAAAAATGTTTATTAAATAAAAACACTGATCGTGAAAATGTTGAAATTGTTGAATTTATTCCGTAAACAGTTTAGACTTGTTGAAAATTAATTTACTTTCAAATCTGTTAAATATAAAAATAAGAAGATGTGGTATAATTGCGAATGAGACAACTCTCCACCATAGAAGTTAACAAATTATAGGTCACCGTACGATCTTCAACAAGGAGTTAAACCCATACCGTTAAAGTCGTAATATTTGTCACTAGTGTAAAAAGTTGGTTCACATGGGAAAAGGCTGAAAATAATAATATGAAACTCTAGTGTTGCTTAGTCTTTAGTTTTCTATGTTGTGTCATCTGTACTATTATTTGTCTGTTTGTCTTTTTATTTTTGGCCATGACGTTGTCAGTTTGTTTTCGATCTATGAGTTTGACTGTCCCTCTGGTATCTTTCGTCCCTCTTTTAAAAAAGTGAAGCTTGGTTATACGAATGTGTTTGGGGAATATCGTGCAGGTTGCATGTAAAAGAGTCCTAAAAATAAATGCACATAAGATCTGACCTAAATACGTGACTTGTTGCAGGACAAATTTTCAGGGTTTTTTTTCCAAACAGGTCTGCATATCTTTTTGGTTATTGTGTCAGTTAAATGTTTATCCCGTCATCTTTGTCGACCCATAAACCGAACTAAATTGACTTATGAATCAAATGTTTGATTTGATTTTTAGGCGAACTGAACATGCTTGATAATTGCCACTGGACGTTACGCAAACATCAATCAATTTAAATGAATCGCCCTATCAAAAGACTGAATCTCCCATGTAGTGTCGTCCTAAACATGTATGAAATATTTGCCACTGGACGTTAAGCAAATTGAAATGAACCAATTAGAAAATTATTCCGTCTCGAACTTTTACAAATTCATATTAAAGCATACGTTTTTCTGTTTTGTTTAATTTATCCGGAAAATTAAAATTGTGTATAGTTTAAATACTTCACGTACTAATATACCTGATACCTAATATAAACTGATGATTTTGCATGAATATTCAAAACAATAAAGCCCAGTCATATCATTTCGTTTATTCATGAAACGGATCATTAAAGGGAAACTTCTCAAACAAATGAAAAATTGATATTATGTTCATTATGAATTAAAAAGCACAAATTCAGAAATATTAACGTGTTATTCTTATGGATAAGAGGTCAACATCGATTTTAAATTTACAATATAAATTCTCAACATGTAGCCATCGTGACGGCTTCTCGATTAAAAAGACCACGTGATATCTATAAACCACAAAGAACCAAAACAAGCAGGGACTAACGTAGTCGTAATTCAGTGTCAAAATCACAGTCAAGCGTACGGTTGTTTTCCGGACTCTAAAAAAAGACTTATATCAGACATGATTGTCCTAATTATTGGCACACTTTTTAGTTAACTTGATACAGAATAATGTTTAAAAAAAAAGGTTTAAGAGTCAGGAAAGTCGGCCGCTTGGATATCTATTTTTTTTAAATAACTATGGTCTGCCGTTTTTCTAACTTACTTTTTTTCGCTAAGTTTATGAAACAAGTAAATATAAAGGGGAATAAGTTTAGAGCGATTACTTTTATGGATTCTCTCTCAAAGTTTAAGTCATAATTAACTAGCGGTGTTCCGTATCAAACATTTGAAAAAAATCTTTGTTCATAACTCTTTTATGTAATACATTTATTTAATTCGGTACTTCCCTAATTTGATCATCAGCATGGCTAAATAAATTATTGCCAGGGGTATTGTGAGGTGACACTTCCAGGTACACAATTACATAATGCAGGTTCATTCATCGCGTCACTGCCGAGCGTATCAGTGTACACGACTGGTTACTTAAAACTTTCCATTTAAAAACTATCAGATGTAATACACATGAAGTGTACATTTTTTTGTCTCGAGTCCGACAGTGATAAACTAGTCATTACTAAACTCATACGTCTATACAGTTTTACTACCACTTGTTTATGGGTGACATTTCTGATGTACAGAATGATATTTATGAAAATCTAAATAATTCCAGCTAAAGATTTGACAAAAAGATAAATCTATTTAGATATTTTGCTAGGGTAAAATTTGAAAAATGTTAGTATATAAAATGTACGCACTTGTCGATCGTTGGTTTATACAGATAGAAAGTTACGGAATTATAGATAGTCACAGTTTAAATATATATATTGAAAATAAGATAGAAACCTCCAGAACCAATCTGATTTAAATTCAGATCTATATCTAACTTGCTATGATTCATCGAAGTTATAAATATAGTAAAATCACAGATTTATATTTCAATTATATTTGTCTAGAACAGATTATGAAATTCGTCATCACAATTGTTAGTTTTATTTTATAGTATTGTGAATCGTTGAAATAACATGTGAAATTCCGACTAAGCGTGAATATCTTGTAAACAGTAGGGTTCTATTCTTACCTATTGTCAATTTCCTGTTCCGGATGTCTTATCAACCACACTATTCAATTTCAGGAAAATGTTATGTTACATAGATATATGCCTATTTGTCTCGGTTTTATTAACCGCAGGAAACGGCCCAACAGATGTCGAAGCACAGATAAAATCTAAGGTAGCAGCTAGCACTAAGGCTGCCCAACGAATTTTAAAAGAAGTGTTGTCGGTCGCCAATGGAGGAACATGGGGACCGTGGAGTGGTCCTGAATTTTGTGCAGAGGGTTATTATGCAACTGGATACTCTTTGAAGGTAAGATGTTATCTGTGAAAATTAAACATACACATATAGTCAGAATATCACGCATTCTGCACGAGTTCTGTTTTACACCCTTTATATTGATTGGTTAATCGATTTCAGAAGTGGCCTTAACAAGGTCTACCTATTTAACTGTAAAAAAATGTTTTATACAGTTTAAAATTGGTCTTATCACTACATGTATGATTAAGTAGATACTATAATTAATATTACAACTCACTCAGGCAAAATTGATCTAAGACGACAATGGTTGGGTTTTTTTTCGGCCATTTTGATTGTGATGCTACTAAACATTTTGTTAATTTGGATTTTGGACTCCCTGAATCAGGCGTTCTTCCTGATGTTTATCATAAAGACGCACGATTTGCGCACTGACTTGGTGCCATGCTATATGTCTATCAAATATGGTTTACATAAAACAATAATGTTCACCTTAAATTTTGCCTGTTTCTAATTATCGTTTCACATAAATGCCTAAAAGGCATTGATTAAACTGACTATTACAGACGCATTACTGATTTAAAGGGTAATCTTCCTTAATCCACAAGGGTTACCTCCTATATCATTTCTAACTGACTTCAAATGAATTGTTAATCCAACACACCGGTCCTATTTGATGATCATTGGCACTCATACTACATCGTCTTATCTATATTGATAAAACTGAGTATTACAGACGCATTACTGATTTAAAGAGTTATCTTCCTTAATTCACAAGGGTTACCTCCCATGTCATTTCACATAAATGCCTAAAAGGCATTGATTAAACTCACTATTACAGACGCATTACTGATTTAAAGGGTTAACTTCCTTAATCCACAAGGTTTACCTCCCATATCATTTCACATAAATGCATAAAAGGCATTGTCTTTTTGACATGGTTCCTACATCTTATTTTTTTACTAATATTGTATTTATATTGTGTCATAGATCAAACTTATTCGTTCAGTGTATGTTTACTTGTTTTTGTTTAAATGTCTTTTTGATCGAGTTAAGCCATTTCAATTGATATTTTATAGTGTGTCTTTTTATGTTGTAATGTCACGCTACTGTCTCGGGTTAAGGTGAAGGTAGGCGCCCGTTAAAACGTTTAAATCCGCTGCATATTTATGCACCTGTCGTAAGTCAGGATCCTGTTGTTCAGTGGTTGTCGTTTGTTGATGTGGTTCATAAGTGTTTCTCGTTTCTCTTTTTTTATATAGGTTAGACCGGTGGTTTTCCTGTTTGAATTGTTTTACACTAGTCATTTTGGGGCCCTTTATAGCTTGCTGTTCGGTGTAAGCCAAGGCTCCGTGTTGAAGGCCGTACTTTGACCTATAATTGTTAACTTTTTATACATTGGGACTTGGATGGAGAGTTGTCTCGTTGGCACTCATACCACATCTTCTTATTAATATTGATTAAACTGAGTATTACAGACGCATTACTGATTTAAAGAGTTATCTTCCTTAATCCACAAGGGTTACCTCCCATATCATTTCACATAAATATCTAAAAACATTGCTTAAACTGACAATTTCAGACGCATTACTGATTTAAAGGGTTATCTCCCTGAATCCACAAGGTTTACCTCCCATATCATTTCATATAAATGCCCTTAAGGCATTGATTAAAATGACTATTACAGACGCATTGCTGATTTGAAGGGTTATCTTCCTTAATCTACAAGGGTTATCTCCAACATCATTTCACATAAATGCCTGAAAGGCATTTATTAAACTGACTATTACATACGCATTACTGATTTAAAGGGTTAACTTCTTTAATCCACAAGGGTTACCTCCCATATCATTTCACATAAATGCTTAAAAGGCATTGATTAAACTGACTATTTGATGAATATTGATAAAGGAGATATTGGGGTCGAAGTATGGGCAACAATCTGTAATTGAATGGTGTGGGTGGCAGAGGGATACGCTTAGATGGCTGATTTTCAATCTACATACGGTATCTTCTTTTATAAATTTAAAGGAAATATCATAATGGTGGTTAAATCGTGATTTAGATGAATTTATTCAACCACAGTCAAAAAATAATTTAGTATCCCATATGCTTCAATAACGTACAAAATTCAATACATCAAAAGTTTGGCTCAAGAAATCTATCGACATAAGTATGTTTAATTTTGATACATTTAAGAACTCATTCGGAAAAAAATTAAGTACCCTATTTTCTTTAACATTGTTCAATTAGTATTGATTTATACATCTTCTTTAGATTGAAGAAAAACAAGGAAAAGGAGACGACACCGCACTGAATGCTATACGCTTAAAGTGTCGGAAGGGAAATAACTCTCCTAGTACTGGTGGAACTATTTCGGCCCAAGAAGGACGATGGGGTCAATGGTCGGAAACAACGGATTGTCCTCTTGGTGAACAATTAGTTGGTTTTCGTCTACAGGTTGAAGCCAAACAGGTAAATAAAAATGTTGTAAAATCTGTATACTTTGAATGTCTAATGGACAGAAATACATTCATTTGCTTTTCAAATTTGGTTATATTAGTCTTGCTTTACGGCGTAAAACGTTTGCAGAGGTGCAGTACTGCCCAGATGAAAAAAGCAACAGTTGCGTGAAGCAACTTATATTTTACATAATCCTATACTTGAGTAAATGTGTAAATGTTTAATAATATTACTGTATGATTTAAACATTTAATCGACACAAATTTATAATTTTCATAAAAATCTGCTTTCCAGGCTAAAATTTAAGATATATTCATAAAAGCAGTGCTATACATTGCTGTTCATAACAATTTTGATATGATATGGAAAATTTGACATGTTCCCTTAGAATTTGACATCAAAAGGCGTCAATAACCAAAATGAAATAATTTGGATCTGGAAAAACACATCATAGTGTAACTTATTATTTTCGTTTTGGTTAAAGGTGTCTTTTTTCTTCGATTTTGTAATAGATACTCATAATTTGTCAAAATCTTTCAAAACTGCAGTTTTGAGAAGTATTTTTAATCTGTTTCATGTACAATACTACGACTAATAATCGATGATTGTAATGTTGTTAATTTACCACTTCAAACTACGCATCCGCACAAAGAAAGGCAACCAATATCATACACTGAAGAAAGACGATAATACCATATCTAATAAAAATAAAACAAAAATACAACTGTAAATTTTTGAAAAGATAGAAACAAGCTTTAAAAACGAGATCAACACGTTAACAATTCCTTTCGTCCGAAGTACTTTTCTGGATTTACCTTCATCAGGAACGCTCAAAACCGAATATTTGAAAGCAAAGGAGACAGCTTAATATCAGCACCTACGTGTTGCTTGTTTCTGCCAAAATGTGAATTTTTTTTGTATAAGATGTATCTAATTTCATAATTATATATTGTTTTTACTAAAGCAAATGATATATGAGAAACTGAAACAGTTGAAGAGCTATATGACCATAAAGGACCTAAAAGGATTAAAAAATTCCAAAACTTTGAAATAAATTTAGGGGATATTGAAAATACAAAATTCCTACACACTTAAGGCTCTTAACCATAGATTTATGCCGCTTAGACACGGGGAAGATTTATGCCGCTCAGACACGGGGAAGATATATGACGCCCACAAATTCAATCCATTTACTGAACGCATGTTTGAATGGTTGGTTAATTTGTATATTGCTGCATGCATTTTACATAGAATGAATTGATCTTTAACCAATTTTGCGTCGTCTCGTTTTAAGACTTTTTAACAAAGACACGGTAATTCAAAAAGTTATAATGGTAAACATATCGTGGGTATCATTTGAAGATGATTAAAATTATAAAAAAATTTTGAATACTGATAATAATGTACATTGTATAAATATTTGTTTCAGGGAAGAGGAGACGATACAGCAGCAAACACTGTAAACTTTAGGTGCAGAAGTTTCAATGGTGGAGCAACAAATATAATAGGAACTAGAGGATTTTGGGGAAAAGTTGGAGCATGGAGTCAAACGTGTCCTCTTGGGTCTGCAATATGTGGACTAGAAGTCCGAATTGAACCCAACCAAGGAAGAGGGGACGACACAGCACTGAATGACGCTAAATTTTATTGTTGTTCACAATAAATAAATAATTTTAGTCACCATGGTAACATAGTGACAAACTTTACCACTTCCCGATTTTGGATTTAATTTTCTGTATTGTTTTTATCCTGATGACTGTGCCCTAGTCACCAAAACATGTCCATCTATTAAATTACGACATTAATCCCTGCAGTGTTGTTGTTATAACAGTCATCACATGTACTTATTTGGTTATACATTTATTTATTTATCTTTACTTATCTTTATGCGTCATTGATCCCCTAATTATATACGTCATCAGCATTGTTGGGTGCTGGTAACAAATGGTTTTGCAGTTTTAAGGGTAACATGCTTCTATTGGTGACAGCTCTATATAGCCACCTTCTGCCACGGTATAATTTGGGATATTTAACAAAATACACATGTTGGAGTATGCAAACCATTCACACGCATGATGATGGTCATCTAATTGACTGCACGTGATGTGTTCATATGCGGTCATACCTTGTCTTATTGGAGACGTGTGTGCCTACTGAAGGAAGTCAATTTGGAAATGCAATATGTATAACTTGGTCCTTTTTGATCAAATAGCTCTTCAACTGTTTCCGGTTTTATCATGTTTATACATCAGTAGCTTTCATATATTAACCTTTGTGCGTGCTTGATGAAGGTTAATCCAGAAATGCGTTTAGGAATTATGAATTGATAACAACTGTCATATTCCTGACTTGGTACAGGCATTTTCTTATTTATGTATAAAATGGCGGATGAAACCTAGTTATATAGCTAGCTAAACATCTCACTTGTATGACAGTCGCATAGAATTCCATCATATTGACAGCAATGTGTGAACAAAACAAACAGACATAATAGGTAAAAATGTCAAAAATACGGGCATAGCAGTCATCATTGTGTTATAATCTTATTCACTATAAAAACAAAAAAATATGTCAACAAATCATTCTAACTCCGGGTGTGGGATTTTCTCGCATTTTTGAAGTCCGATTGGTCGCTTTTGACTGTTTTCTGCTCTTTGGTGGGTTGTTGTCTCTTTGACACATTCCCCCTTTCCATTCTCAATTTTATTTCATAAATTATCTGTTTATACATAAAAAAAAAAAAATCAAAAAATAAGGTTACAACTCTCTCAGACAAAGTTGGCCTAATATGCATTTGTTTTTATATTGTTTTTAAGTTCTTTTTTGTCATTTCAATTTTCAACTGTTTCGGTTATCATACTTTCTGTTTTCAAATATTCTGATTTTAGCGTTTACTTCGAAGATAAATTATGAAATAATTGCCACTATACATTAAGAAAGCAACAATCAGTCAATCAGTCATTCGATTTGGAAAGCTATTTTTAGTGAAATTTGTATATGATGATTGCTGGAAGCACTACAAAAGTCAAAAAGTCTGAAAAGACCAGTTTTTGTCTGAATTTGCATGAATTTTTACTCGACATTCTTAATTTGTCTGAATAATTTTTAAAAATTCTTGCCATAGTATGAATTTGTCTTGAAGGTTCTTGATTTTTCTTGACAAATGTCTTGACAGTATGAACATTGTCTTAAAATTTCTCGACACTTCCTGTATCATCTGATAAGAGTCTGGATTAGTCTCGACCAATTCTTGACTGTCTTAAATTTGTCTCGATCTGTCTTGACATATTCTTGACATTCTTGATAATGTCTGAATATGTCTCGACATATTCTTGACATTCTAAATAAGGTCTGAATATGTCTCGACACATTCTTGACAGTCTTAAATATGTCTTGACACTATCTCAACAGTATAAATTTCGCCTGAATTGTGAACAGACTTATTCTGCACTGAAAACCCTGAATTATCCCCAATGTAGATTAATTTTGATTTATTTTTATTAAACATTTAAGTAATTCTTTTCACCTGGGACTGATCGGTCTGTTGAGATTTCATTGTCCCGATAGCGGATTATTGATTTTTTGTTTTGATTGACAGCTTATCGTGTCACGTGGTTAATTAGCCTTCGATACATGTAAACAATTGATTTCGGCGAACATGTCAGCATGTTTATACCGTTAAAATAGGTGGATTTAAAATAAAAAGATATAATTAAATGAACAAAAAATTAAAAATATATGAATTATTTAATTATTTTAACAAATTGAAATTATTTACTAGAAAGAAATGTTTTTATATGGGGATGAACTAATATTAGTAATGCCGATTTAAAACTAGGAAAGTTAAGTTCTTCTTTATTTTAACATAATCATCGAAGTTCTTTTGAAAGTTAACTACTTTCTTTATTGTTAAAATTATATTAAGAAGTAGTCAATTAGTGCTGTTGAAAACAAATATGGTCGAAATGGCGGCGCTTTACTTGATCGCTAAGAAAACAACGTGTGGAAAGTTGATAGATCTTAATTAATCTTAACAAAAACAATTATAGTGTAATTGAAATCAATGTCGACAATTTCAGTTCAAAATTAAACCCTATAACAACAGTTACCCGGGTTTCGTAAAATATTTCAATAGCCTTATTGTTTTCTAAATTTCGTGTTTACACATAAATTTCTCAAAAATAAATCTAGCTTGGCTTCTCTTTGATCAGAAATACTTTAAAACATTTTCGTGTGTTTCTTCTGTTCATTATAGTTTCAAAATGTGTAGTAAAACAGACTTTTTGCATTGGGATGGGGATATCGATCTTGATTTTTTATTTGATGGGGATTACACTGATATTGATGCTGGCGATTGTTCTGACGACGATGTGCCATCAACACCATCAAAAATGGCTAAAACTGCAATTGCTGATTCCAAGCCAGTTTATTCATGTCCTACATGTGCAAAACAACTTAAGACTATCACCGGTTTCCGTGGGCATATGAGAGGTCAACATAAAATTCATAACATCAAACCCTCTGAGCATAGGTCTAGCACAGCTCCAACATCTGCAGCTACACCAACAACTAACCAGAGCTATAAGTTCAGGATGTCATCTACTGACTTCCAAGGGGTTTTTGACTCAGCCTTTACACAAGCATTAGAAGGCATCCTTAATTGTCCATTCCGTAATAGTTCTGTCTCTCTGAATGGTTAACAAGTTATACAGATTGCAAAAGATATTAAAGATAACCAAACCGTCATGCAACAACTATAATCTGCCATACAAGATCCCTTTTGGTCCATATTTTCAAGTAGAGACTCAACATCACAACTTGTTGAAAATGAAGAAATGTTTGCTTCATTCTTTTCAACATGTGTTGACACAAACTTTAGGGACAAGTGCCTTTCAATAATTGATTCCTCAAGTTCATATTCAGCAGTTTTTTCAGTATTTTCCTTCGTGGACTATTAGACAACATTATTCAGAACAGGGTATCATTGTTTTTGCCTACAACTACAAATAGCTCTGACCAATTACCAGTTATAAGTGACAGTGAGCAATCCACACTATACTATATAGCTGGGTATATCATCAGTGCCCTGAAGAAAGAATCTCAAAGATTCTCACAGTCTGAGAAACACAATGCTTTGAGTAAAGCACTACAATCTTGTATTCAACAGAATAAATGTGCACCAGTAAGTTTTGTTAACACATATTCTGCCTGGACTGAAAAGTTAAACCGTGGGGGACTACAGACAGCTTATGACAGTTGTTTTCCTTTTGGTTAGGGAGTTTGAAACCATCCTTCGTCAAGTTTGTGACATATCAACAGCAGGTATTAATTCTAAAACACTAGACAAACAGGGACTTAAGGAACAGATTCTTTCTGCATTTATGGTCAAACATTATTTTGGTAAATTGTGTCTCGACCCGGTTCATTCAGGATACATACTAGAACGTATAATTCCCTGTTTTTAACAATTCGTGGACATGCAGTCACACAACAGATTAAGACGCAACATGACAAAAAGGACAAAAATGACTCTACATCATCCAAGCCTCTACGCAAAGTACTGAAGGACAAGACAAATGTGTGAATACTTTTTCATGAACAAATGTGAACTCTTGTATGTCAAATGTATGTAAATAAATAGATGAAGTCCTTTAAATTATTTATTTTTGTATAGTCATATAACCATACATCAGTTTTAAATGAAGATACATGAGTAAAATCTTCTAGGTTAACAGTATGGTGGTATTTGTATGCTTTGTCCAATATCACATAAAACTCATGACCAAAAATGCCATCGCTATCAGCAACTTCACCACTTTTCCCACTCTCTTTGTACATAGTATCATCTTCAATACTATCTAACCAGGGAAGTCTCCAGAAAGGTTCAGTAATATTAATTAAAAAGAAATTACAATGAAACATCGAAGGGCATAGAGTTTACATGTACATAATTACATTGATAAGTTGATCAAAAGTTACACATTTGATGATACAAAAACATGTAATTTCAGTATAACTGAATCAAAGTTGTTAACATTTGTTGCGGGTTTGCTGTCAAATTGATTTACATAACATCTCTTAAAATACACATGTATACAAATATTCTTTAAAGTTCAATACATGTATAGACAGAAATAAAAAAATACAAGAATGTGTCCATATAAATACATGGTTTCGTGGTAAATACGTATACCAGCCTGGTCAATACTAATAAATACTGGTACATGTAGATTGAAATTTCATGTTTCATTTGACTTGATTGTAAAATATTGTTTGATTAATATAAGTTAGCTATTTTTACTTTGGCATGACAATTTATTGTTTTTAAAAATGAATGATATTATCAGATTATTTAATGGTATTTTTTTTTCATTTGCTAAAGCTTCAACAATGAGGACAAATGACAGTTAATAAATGGATCTTTTAAGTGATTCTCAAGTAAAAGTTCAAATAGTTGACAATAAATAACATTTTTGAACTTGTTATACATCTGATGTGAAATCTTTTCTATCTGATAGAATCATATGACTTAACAGAAAAGAATATTTTTATATTGACGAGAGAAAAAAAGGAAGAAAACATAATGAAAAAGGACATGTTAAGATTTTGTTTACATATATATATACTTCAGCAGAAGAAATACAGACACGAATCATCTTTAAAAACTTTTAAAACTGCAGTAACTGTTATTGTTTTCTTTGTTTTGTATTTTATATATGTTTCCTGTTAAATTGCATGTATATTATTATGATAATCATGATAATCATGATTATGATTATAATAGTCCATATGGTGACTCATGGTGTTGA